AACGAGTGGTGCAGAAAGATTGCAGAATTACGTCACTCCTTTGAAAATAACCGCATAATTTTAATTTCATTTTGTTTACTATTTGGCTAACAAACCACTAAGTATATATTAAAAAAAAACTACTTAATTATTCCGCAAGTTATTGATAATATTGCTGTCGCCCGCGACTCCGTCCGCGTGGAATTAAAAATAAATAATTAGCCTATTCCGGGCTATATCCTACATTTAGATGGAAATTTCATTGAGATCCATGCAACCACTAGACCAGCAAAGCAAATACATAATGAGTACAAAAAATGATCTCATCATCATCATCATCAGCTTACTATAGTCGCCACCGAGGAGCTTGGTGCTTACCCTAAGTTAAGGGTGATTAGGCCATAGTGAACCACACTGGCCAAGTCCGGGTAAGTTGACTTCACACATATCTTTAACTTTCTTCTCAGATAGGTTGCATCACGATGTCTTCCTTTAGTCGGATAAATGTACATATGTAAATCGAAAAATCGAAAAACAAATACGTTCTATTTTCTTGATATTACATACGAATACTTCAATTATATTAATATGAATAGTGTATGTTAGGTAGATTCAGATAAGACGGCTGATAAAGATGTATGGAGGAGTACATACTGTGCCGACCCTCCAGGGATAAGGGCAGGTCGATGATGATGTTGGTGTACATGTATGAATGACGTTGGCAAAAGCAATACTAGGAAATGATGGCTGGATGCATGATGATTAAGAAGGGAAGGACGACTGAAATGTAGAATTACAGCTGGATCTGAATGTGACAACCTGGTGCAGCGAATCGAGGACGTTAACGACAAAAGTTTTAAAGATGAAGTACTTTCACTTCTCAAATGTATTTTTACAGTATGAATATTTTAGTTGTAAAATGATATTTTCACATGGATGCGTCTATTGCAAATAAATATATACGTGACATAAAACGAACCGGCTTCGGATTTCCCATGGGCCGTCACCTATTTCATTTTGTGAATAAATTGTATTCCGTCACCTTATGAAAGATATATGTATTGTATGGGTATTGTAGATGAGATATTGCAAAATATTTACTTACGTAACAATATTCAAATACTTTTTTTATATTATAAGGTGTCAAACAAGTAAGTGGCCATCTGAATATGCCAAAACGGCGAAGCAACCGCCTCCTATCATCCGCAATTGCATATGCGTTGTCTACCTTTAATCGTCGGAGGACGCACAGAGAGAATGATTCCCTTCCATGCGTCCCCTTCTCTATCAAATCCGCTTCCCCTCCTTTTCTTATAAGAGAAGAAGCTATTAGTTTAATTAAGACTAAAGTGAACTATTGTTGAACATAAGCTTAGTGATAAATGTTAAGTCAGACTGACTTTTATGTACTTTAAGGTACTGTCAGGGAATTTCGCGATGTTACACTTTCAATAAATTTGTCTTGTTTCTTGCAATCAGACATCCATCTTTTCATACAAAATAACCAATGAGGTAGCAGTGAAGTGTGTAAACGATAGCATAGTAAAATATGAATTAATACAGACATACTTAAAAGCTGCGTCTTATTGGTTATTATTCCGCGTCAAAGTTTAAATGCGTACGACATGTTTAAACGGCTGTCGCTTTAAAATTATACCGCCAGTTTCTTCGATTGCACATATGATTTTTTTCTCTGTACTCTCTGTTTACCCTTATGTTTTACAAACTTTAAATGATCTTACATTTCATTGAATTTTGTACTGTACATGCACAATGGATGAATGTTTAACCTATTTGGACACAAGCCAGCCACATTTGGCAGGAGTGTTAGCAAATTACCGCTGACTGTAAGCACAGAGCACGCAGATTGCAGCAAATACTATATATGTCACTTTAAAGCTTTCGATTATGATTTTTGCATCATAATAATAACGTTGTTTTTATTTTTGGCTTTAGAAGTATTTCTGATCCGTCATCTTCCCGCTTCCGTACGGAAGTAGCATACTATTATTATTCCATACATGTCCATTAGCCGTCATATTCACTCCCC